CTTTTTTTTTAGATTTTTTAAAAAAATTATTTATTTGAGAAAAAGAGAGTACAAGGAGAAGGAGGGGCAGAGGGACAAGCAGACTCCCTGCTGGGTATGGAGCCTGATGCTGGCCTCAATCCCAGGACCCTGGGATCATGACCTGAGGCAAAGTCAGATGCTGAATGGATTGAGCCATCCAGGTGCCCCTCTGGTATTCAGTACTTTTAAAATACAATCTCTTTAACAGATCAGAACAGAGTAATGATGAAAAGCAGAGTTGAGCAGATAGCATGGTAGACTGAAAAGTCATTGAGAATACCTCAAATCCCCAAAGATTTTTTTTTTTTAAATAACTGTCCTTGGCTCTATCATTAGTGAGTCATTTTTTTGGGGGGTCAAGCATGGTCATCTCTCTGACCTTAATGGAAACCGAGGGACAGAACTAGCCTAACTGACAGGGTTCTACAAGGCCAGATTCCAAGGTAGAGTATTTCTCACTTAAGACCATAGGTTAGGGAGTGAAAGGTACTGTGTTGTTTAAATTTTATTTATTTATTTGAAAGAGAGTAAATGGGAGCGAAAGGGAGAAGGAATCTAAAGCAGGTTCTGCACTGAGTACAACCTCTAGCACAGGCTCAATCCCATAACCTCAAGATCATGACCTGAACAGAAACCAAGAGTTGGACCTTTAACAGACTGAGCCACCTAGGTGCCCCGGGTCCCATGCTCTATGTCATGTGAAAGAGCAGAACCAAAGTTCAGAAAATAAAAAGTATGACAGGAACATACAAAATTAATATCCAAAACTTTTTTTAGGGACCAGAAGAGAAGAACAAACATCAACAGGATGATCACAAATGTTAATTCGTTTAGGAATCATCTGACCAGGCTTTGTTGCTTACAATTTCTTTTTACTTTAACAATCCAGGTAGAGAGAGCAGTATATTTAGTCAAGTTTGAAAGGTCTAGAATGGACATACATCTTGGAGGGCAAGAAGGCTTGGTGAGAAGAAGAGAGGCTCATATGAAAGGCACTGTCGTAAAATATATAAATAAATAAAATCACCCTTTAGCATGACATGTTGCTATTTAAAGATTTATCTTGGGCAGCCCAGGTGGCTTAGCGGTTTAGCGCTGCCTTCAGCCCAGGGTGTGATCCTGGAGACCCGGGATCCAGTCTCGCGTCGGGCTTCCTGCATGGAGCCTGTGTGTGTGTGTGTGTGTGTGTCTCTGTCACCATGAATAAATAAATAAAATCTTAAAAAAATACTTCTTTTGCAGTTATTAGATACACTATCAGTAATGATTTTAATGATACAGTTTTTGTTTTTAAGATGTATTTGACAGAGAGAGAGCAAGTGAGAAAGAGCAAGAGAGCACAAGCAGGGGAAGGGGCAGAGGGAGAGAATCCCAAGCAGACTCCTCTCTGAGTATGGAGCCTGATGTGGGGCTTGAACCCAGGATCCTGAGATCATAAGCAAAGCCAAAACCAAGAGTTGAGTGCCCAACCAACTGAGCCACCCAAGTGTCCCAGTTTATTTTTTTTATAAAAATGAAAGAATATCGTGTTCTGGCCTTTTTCTTTTAATAAATTTATGAATTTACCTGAGGGTTTTTGGTCCCTTTATTTAGGATAATTTAGACTGACGTTCATGGACTAGGCTAAGAATGTAGTACAATATCAGTAAAAAGTTATTTCAGTGAAGGAACTTCTTTCAATACTTTTAATTCAGGGTGGTATAAAAGAACACACACACATCTCTCTAATTAATAGTCTCCCTGTCATTGGATGGTTTGAATATGTTTCTTCTCCCTGTTTGATTTTGTCTTCCTATCTATATAAGAGATGATTAGAGAATAAGATCAGAATGCACAAACTGCTGACCTATGAACTAAGCTAGGAGACTGTTGGTTTGGTCAAGACAGTGTTGCTGTTTGTTTGTTTTTCATCTTGTTTTAATGAGTTTTAATGCCTTTAGGGAGGGCATACACACTCACGTTCACCTGGGGACCTACCAACCCACCCAACCGCTGAGTTGTTATCAAGATTCTATGTTTGTATATCCTGCATGAGTCCTGAAAATGCTTCAGTTTGTAGCTCTCAGATTAGACATTTTGTCAAATGTCCTTAGGTTCTTAAAGTTTTAATTCTGTAAAACTTCCTAAGAGACTGTTCTTTCCCACCCTGCATTGGTAGAGAGACAAACGAACTGGAAGGAAATCTATGCATGGTCAAGCCTAGCTGATAGCATCAAGCCATCTCCACACACTATCTTATTTAATCAAGCCACTCCAGTGACCTAGGTATTATCATACCCATTTTTCAGGTTACAAAATAAGCTTAGAGAAGCTAACATTTTGTCCATAGTAAATAAAATGTTCATTAGTTGTGGAAATCAGATTCAAGCCCAGATCTGTTTGTCTCTAAAACCTCCCTATGTCATAGAGACATGACTCCTCCCTTTCCTTTAGTGGGCAGAAGTTTTCAAAAGGATCTCTTGAATAATGAAGCTTTACACAGACTTTGAAATGTTGTCAATGTTAGAGGATGTCAGATGTCTAAATATCTCAAACACTTTTACAAAATATTTTATTTGCATGCTGCTTTCTTTGATTAATAGGGAGTTTCCTTTATGCTGTGCTTGGAAATATAACTGGCTGCCACACAGAATTTGGGAATATTGTTAGAAGAAATTTAGCTCTCACTTACATACTGATATAGCTTTGGAAAATATGTCACAAGTCACTTAAACTAGAAATGTAAAGAGATTTTATTTCTATCACTTAACTTTTTTTTTTCATTTTGTCACAGAAACTAGCTATCTCATAAATTCAAATTTGTTTGTATTAAAAAATCACTAAAATTCTACTTGCCTTAATCTGGAAATAGTACTTGATTATTTAGAAAATTTATCTGACATGAAACTGTTCTGGTAAGGAGAATTTCAAGTATGTCTAAATAAAAGAAGACAGAGTGTTAGGATGATCATTAATAGAGTAGAAAACTTTTAGCTGTGCTATATTTTCAATTGAGAGTTTTGTAAAACCTAAATCTGTTCACATAAATAGATTTTTTATGGGCAGGATATATCCACGTTATGTTAGTCACTGATTGGCTTACGATAAACATGGTGTCCAGCAAATGTCCAATACAAGAATATCTTTTTTTTTAAAGGAAAAAAAGAAAAAGATGATCCATTAAAAAAATAAAGGAAAAGAATATTTGGGGCATGATTTTGTAATTTTTAAATTTTGGTTTAACCAGCATTTATCTGATTTGACCAAAAGATTGAGCCAGTAATTTCTAATTTTTAAAATTTTGCTTAAAAGAAACAGTGTTCAAATTTGCTGATGGAGATTTTCTTCAGTGCAGTGCAAATTATTAGAAGACATGTCAAAGTGATTAGATTGCTGAATCGTACTTTCTGTGAGTGGGGCTCGGGGGTAGGAGGGGGTATGGAAACTACTGCCCTTTTCAAATAATTCACAGATGTGCTAATTGTATGTCAGATATGAAAGTTGAAGCATTGTGACCTTCAAGACAACAAAAGCCCTTTTCAAGCAAGCCATTTTCATATACCTTAATAAAGTGAACAATGCCCTTCCACAGTTAAATAATGTATTGCTTTTATTTCATTATATGTAAATACAATCAAGGAATTTGTTTCACTGTTCACATATTAAAAGTAATGCTATGAAAAACAGACTGTAAATCCACGTAAATTACTTTTGTGGTACTATACAATTCTGATCTTAGAATATATTTGTTGTTTGCTTCTATTGCACCTAATGTGTGGTTTCTCTGAAACTGAATGTATTTTGGATTTGAGTAGTAAAGCCTGCAATGTGTTGATGTATATAATAACCAAGAGAGACATTAGGAAAGTTAACAAATGATAGAAAAGCTCTTTCCTTGCAATAATGAAGACAATGACAGCTTGTAGATCAGAGGAAACACTACTGCTCTGTGCACTCACTCACCTGCTAGGAAGAACAACACTGAATAAGAGTGAGGGTCAAAGGAAGAGAAAGGAATCCCATGCTTTTCTCATGGGTCTTTCATGACATTAAGAAAGTATCTGTAGGAATGCCTGGGTAGCTCAGTGGTTGAGCGTCTGCCTTTGGCACAGGGCATGATTCTGGGTCTGGGAATCGAGTCCAACATGGGGCTCCCTGTGAGGAGCCTGCCTCTCTCTCTGCCTATGTCTTTGCCTCTCTCTCTCTCTCTCTCTCTCTCTCTCTCTCTCATGAATAAGTAAATAAATCTTTAAAAAAAAAGAAAGTATTTGTAAATATTGGGCTTAGGTAATGGACATTAAGGTGATTATTTAATCAAGCACCCATTTCGTTGGAAAACAATGCAAGTTTCAAAAGGAGTAACGTATAAAGGAATATAGGTGTTACTAATGCTTGAATCAAATTGACTGCTGGAATATTCGAACAGTGCCCATGAAGTTATAGTAGAAAAGCAAGAACAGGAAGAAGAATTTAATTATCTTGTATTTGTCCAGCTTTGTAATATATTTGATGCTGCATAAAACATGAGTAATGATATAGTCATGCTTAATGCTACTTAAATATGTATAATAGACTGCTGGGGAATGAAAAAAATAATAAAACAATTATAAACTTAAGAAAAAACATAATCATATGAGATTCCAAGAATCTAGTAGCATTCAATCCATAGATAAGCTTTTTCTTTTTCAATTCTGTAGGAATCCATAATAGCTATCATCTTATTATGGGTTAGATGTTGATACAAAGAGACTGGATAGGGTTGACTGACTTATCAGTCTTCCTTTTTGTTTTAAACAACTTTCTAGAGCCCTTTGTTCTTATTATTTTAACAGATACTCTGAGGAGTTCCATAAAACATTGCAGTGACATTTATGAGAATGCTGTTATCACTGAGATTTTTCAATGACTATATACATTCTCTAACTTATTTAGGATAACAAATGTTTCTGCATTTCCTTACTAATTTGAAATAATTTCCATTATTTTGGCTTGTATTTAAGGTGGCAAATCTTGCTTGTTCCATGTCAACAAATGAAGATGGGATTAAAATTGTCAAAATTGCAGCCAATCACCTAGAAACCTTGTGTCCACAGGTATGATAACTAAGTTGCTGTCTTGTTAATTAAACTAACTATAAAAATTATATATAATACTTCAGACCTTTATATTTATGAAAATATACTAAGGTATTTGTTTTTAAATACTGATGCTGACTTGTCCTAAGGTCATGGTTTATTCTTTACTAGGTACCTAGTTCCTTATTTATCACCTGGCTCTTATAATATTCCCTAAGGAATCATATCAGAATCTTGTGAGACAAAGGTATATTGTGAAATTAAACCAGGGCTTTGTCCAATGCTTTTATTTTTAGTCATTATTTATCTTGAAATCTCAGAATATGAAAGGAATGACTTTTTTCCCCTCTTTTATTCAAAGACATGAATTTGAAAAAAAGACAAGAAATGTTTCCTTGTCTACAATTCAGAAGTTTTTGTTTGTTTGTTATTTGAAAAGCAACATACTTTTAGGAATAATTTCTAGGTTAGTGTCTTGAACCATGAATCAGTATACAGCTAAGGGCAATCTTAAACACCTTGTCTTAGAACAATCAAGAGATGATATGGGGGGGATCCCTGGATAGCTCAGCGGTTTGGTGCCTGCCTTCGGCCCAGGGTGTGGTCCTGGAGTCCGGGATCGAGTCCCACGTCAGGCTCCCTGCGTGGAGCCTGCTTCTCCCTCTGCCTGTGTCTCTGCCTCTCTGCCTCTCTCTCTCTGTGTGTCTCTCATGAATAAATAAATAAAATCTTTAAAAAAAAAGAGATGATATGGATAACTACTTCCTAAAAAGATCACAAATGTTGTAAGGATATGAAATATAACAATGACTAGAGACTTCAAATCTCTGGATATCCACTGAGATTCTCATTATTCTAAAGTAGTATATGTGTTCAATTCTTGATTTACCTTGCTGATAATTTATCTCTAAGAATATTGAGGAAATAGTAAGGGAGATTCCTCCATTGGACTTAATGTTAATTAACAAGTAAAAACTGGCTGGAGAAGTATAGTCCAGAGGACCTGCAACTGAGATCTCACAATTGATGTCCATTTTCTGTGAGATCTCACAAGGAACCAGAATACTACAGTGGGGTCCCTAAAGTGATTGAATCATTTATACTCCCTTCTGCAGCCAAGGAGAGTTTGCATTTATCCATACTGTGGATTGCATTTGATGCTGTCACCTTTTAAATGTCTTTTGAATCTGAAGAGTTTTAAATATATCTCACTTGTTTTAATTTATAATTTTCTGATTACTAAAAGGAACGTTTTGTTTCAAATGCTTGTTAACCATTTGGCTTTCTAATTCTGCGTATTGACTAAATCCTTTGCTATTTTTAGTTGGGTTGTCTTTTTTATTATTACATTGCTTGAGGTTGTTAAAAATATCTTTTGTTGACTATAGCTTTTCTTTTAACTTTTGAAATAGTATTTGATCATTGAAGATTTTTGGAACTTTAATGATTCATCTTTCAATTACTTCCACAGATATTTATTGAGCATCTACTGTGTATAATGGTTTGTTGACTTTTTTTGCCTTAAGAAATTTTCCCAACAAAGATGTTAAATAGTTTTCATATTTTCTTTAAAAAAGGATGAAGTATCATTAATTAACATATGGATATTTACTTCATCTAAAATTTATTTTTATATCTAACCTGACGCAGAGATTTTTTTTTTTTTTTTTTACAGTGGTAACCACTGGGCCAATCATGTGATGGTGATAGTTGATCCTTTTCCCTATTAATGTAAAATGCTATCATTGTTTCACACACATGTTCACACTTTTTAAAACATTTCTATTATTTTATATATATATATGTACATATATATACACGTATATATATATGCTGTACCTATTTGTAATACATGCATACATATACATGTTTTATATAGTGCCTTATATATGTATGATACATATCTATCAAATGTATATTTTATTTACTACTATTCTCTTTTTTATTTACTACTATTCTATATGTAAATATAGATTGATAGGTAAATTGAAATACATTTCAAAATATACAAGTTTCTGGGTTCCCTATTCTGTTCCACTGGTTTATGTCTTTATTCCTGCAACAATATTGCAATGTCTTAATTATGGCTTTACACTAAATATGATATCTCCAGGCAAATTGACTCACCTTGTTTTTTGTTGTTATTGGTGGTGATTTTTTGTTTATTGCTCTTATTTTTTGCTTGTTCATATAACTTTCAAGATAAACTTGTCAAGTTCCATGAAAGTACATTAGTATTTTTATTGAAATTGTTAAAATGTCTTGAATTATTTTGGGAATAATGGCTCTTTGAATCTTTCCATTAATAAATGTTTTATTAGTAAATGTTATTTTAAATGTTTTATGTATCTCCATAGTCAAACTTTAAAAAAATGTAATTCTGGGGCTCTTTAGTTTTTTTTATTATTTATTACAATAAATCCATGACTACCTGCTGATGACTTCCAAACCTTTCTCTCCAGGCCAGATCTCTCCCCTAAAGACCACACTCAGATATAGTATAGTCTTGACATTTGCACTTTGACATCTAGAAGACATCTAAAACTTAAGCCAACATGGAACTTCTGATTGTTGCATTCCCATCTCATTCTGCTACTGAATGAGAGCAGTAGCAGAATGAGATGAAATGAGACTGAAGAGTCTTACTGATTTAATAAGCTAATGCATGGCTATCTGCCTGGTTGCTCTGGGGAAAAACCTGGAAATTTTCAGTAAATATTTATTGACCATATACTATGTGGTATCTGGAGGGTAAATAGTAAAGAAAACAATCAGATGAAAATCCTTGTTCTTGTGAAGTTTTTATCCTAATGATATCTTTAAAAAATATTTTATTTATTTATTCATGAGAGACACAAAGAGAGAGGCAGAGATATATATAGGCAGAGGGAGAAGCAGACTCCCTGCGGGGAGCCTGATGAGGGACTGGATCCCAGGACCGGGGGATCAGGCCCTAAGCATTACGCAGATGCTCAACTACTAAGCCACCCAGGCATCCCTATTCTAATGATATCTAATGGCTGTTTTTCCTATTGAATTCATTAACTAGTCCCATCAATTTCACCAAAAATATTTATCTTGAATCTATATACTTTTCTCCAGCTTATCTGTCCACATCTTAGCTTATACCATCATTTCTATCTTGGACCACAGAAACATCATTTTATATGATTTCCATGCCTATACTTCTCTTTAACCTACTTTCTATCTAAAGGCTAAAGTAAATTTTGAAGATATTTACAATGGCAATTGCTTTTCTTAGCTTTTATAGAAAAATTCATTTTTATGCCTTATTCAGACTTAAATAATAAACTTCCTACTGCCTAACTTCCAGCCCCACTCTGTATTATTTCCCTTTTCACTCATTAGATCTCTGCATATTGGACTTTTTGTTTCTAGAATACAGCACGTTAGTTCCCACCTGAGGGAGTTTGCACATAGTAGTTCCCCAGTATTTTCTTTTCCATATGGCCAGATCCTATTATGTTCATTTTGTAAGGACTCAGCTCAAATATCATCTTCTCAGATACCAATTTCCCTGTCACTCCTTCAGCTATATTCCATTATGTCACCATATTTATTTCTTTTAAAGTCTCTATCACTACCGGAAATTATGTATTATTTTGTTGCTTTTATTGTACATTCTCCATACTCAAACATAAAGTTCATGAAGCCAATGATTTAATCTTCCTTTTCACTACTTATATCCTCCGTACCTAGCAGAAATGCAGCATATATATGCAGTGTATATGAACGATGGTTTCTAGAATGATAAATCATTCTATATTTATAAAGGGCAGTGAGGTTTTTGGCAACACCTTTATGATACTTTTCCTAACATGATGTGTCTGTCTTCTTTTTGAGAACGTGAAAAAAATCATGGTATAATTAGTTGAGCTGTAGCTCATGAAAAAAAAAAAGTCCTAAAAAAGGCCGATTAATTGTAGTTGTTAACCAAGGGTGAGCTCTGTGCTGGTGGCTACAGCTGATATGCTCTTGACTTAGCTCATTTCAGTGTTTTTCTAATGAGTTGGGTAAGACTATAAAATAATATTCTTAAAACATTCAGTTAAAATAAGAGAAGGGGAGCAGCCCAGGTGGCTCAGAGGTTTGGCGCCGCCTTCAGCCCAGGGCATGATCCTGGATCTCCAGGATTAAGTCCCACGTCAGGCTCTCTGCGTGGAGCCTGCTTCTCCCTCTGCCTGTGTCTCTGCCTCTCTCTCTCTCTCTCTCTCTCTCTCTTTGTGTGTCTCTCATGAATCAATAAATAAAATACTAAAAAAAAAAATAAGAGAAGGGGCGCCTGGGGGGCTCAGTTGGTTAAGTGTCTGCCTTAGGCTTAGGTCATGATTTCGGGGTCCTGGGATGGAGCTCTAGGTCCCCTGCTCAGTGAGGAGCCTGCTTTTCCCTCTGCCCTTCTCCCTGTTTTTTTTTTTTTTAATTATGAGTAAAGGGCTTATATTAGCTGAAAGAATTGAGTCACAAAAATTTTGGATATTCTAGAATATGGATATGAAATATAATACTAAATCTCAGTATCCAGATGAAATATAATAGATGTAAGTACTAAACCATACATATTGGGCAATCTGAAGCAAATTGCAAAATAGAGAATGGAAGAGTTATGGCTTAGCAAAAATTTACCCTCCATAAGGCTTAGAGATTTCACTTGATAGTAATCTTAATGTGAATCAACAGTGTAACATAGCTGTCAGAAAAAAACTAATATGATTTAACATCTTTTTGTCAAAAAGTAAATTTTAAAAGTTATTCTCAACCTTCTCTGTACTTCAAAATTATTTTTTAAACTGTACATATCTTAATATAGTACATCCTGAAATTCAGAATTAGTAGGTCTGGAGTGCATCCCAATTGTTGTGTCTGTGTGTGTGTGTATGTGTGAGTCCCAATCTGTGTAAGCTCTACTTTTATAATACCTACTGAAATAAAGCATGCACTTACATTTAGTCCCACTAATTTGACTTCCAACAATTTATGGTACAGCTATATATGTGCAC